AATATCTATGCTATCGCAGCTTGGTAAACATAACAAGAACTCTTTAGATTCAAAATCACCAAGCCGATAAAACATATGTGATGTCTAGATCCTGTCGTACTAACTGTTGATCGATCTATCCCTTAGGAGATTCTCGCTAAATTGCAATCAACTTAAGCGGCTTAGGTGTCTGTCACGCCTACTGAAGCTTCTAGGCGGTAATTAATTATCGTTTTGCAGCTTTAGTAGGCGTGACAGACATCTAAGCCGCTTAAGTTGAAAGAAATTTCGCGAAAAACCCCTCGGAGGTGGATCGATCCTGTAAGAACGATCTTCGATCTAGGTGTGGAAACCCAGTGTAAGTAGACTAAACAGACACAAAAAGGAAGAAGAAGCTCGTAACGTTCCAGATGACATGTATGATATTAAATATGGCCCTGCAGTGGCGGACCCCAGAGGGTCTGCGCATGCCCACTAGGTTTTGAAGCACCCCCTTATAAAGAATAGTAAAATAATATTTCATCTTGCCCCCCCTAAAAAACACACACATAAATACACGCACCTTAACAAAACCAGTATTCGTCAGAGTTGTTTTGTAAGACATATGACATATTAGTGTGGTATTTCAATAATACCAACAAACACGAATCCCTTTCCTTGGGATGAAATATCGTCTGCTCAACATTCATTTCAAGTAAGACTTAAAAAGGCAATAAAGCACCCCCCAAATTATACAGGTCCCAAGAAAATCTCATCTCTGCTGTAAACATGCCTCTGTCGTTACGTTGACTGGTAGAATGGCAGACCCATGCTGATGGCAGAGGAACGGATTTCCAGAGAGCTCTGAAACGCAGGGTGCCACATGGATGCCACTCTTAGATAATTAACTGACGATGAAATCGGCTCCCGCAAAGTTGCTTACAGCACACGGAGATTAAAATAACACTTACATAGGTAGACAAAATACAAATAGTTGTTAGAACAGGGACGTGGGATGACAAAAACGCTGTTCAGCAGCCGTTAAAGGACTGTAATTTACCTGCATGTTGTCTGAAGGGGAAAAAGATTCCTACCGGACTGCTTGATGTAAAGTTCCAGTATGGAGAAAATTCCATACATACCGTAATATATGTCTTTTTTTTTCAAGTCAGTAAGGTATTTTTTTTTTATAAATAGGCTTTAAAATATTTCATTTCCCATTTGCACTAAGCTGCCTTTTAAAAGCTGTGCCATATTTACTTTTTTGGTAGGTTTACTGAAGTTCTTACATCAGTGTTATTAGATTGAGAAAAAACACTTTAAAAGTGATACCAGTGCAATCCATTAATTTGTATCTTAAGTGTCGTCTTTGGCGGCCATTCGCATGTCCTTAGACAGTCTGATGAATGATGAAATAGTTTGGAACGTCAATAAATCCCAAAGATAGGGCAAAGATCAGAACATTTATCAATAAAAATGGTGGAATGTTGAACTACCGTGATCTCGTCTTGAATAACAGTTGAGTGATAGTCCAAGAAGTGAACTGAAAAGTTGAAGATAACACTAATCGCACTGCGTGATAGAATGTCACTGATTTTCTTTCTTTTTTTTCATTTTTTCTTTTCTTTTGATTATTAATTCTTTTTTTTTTTTATTCTGTGATTTATTTAAGTTAAAGTTTTATTCTGTGATTTATTTTAGTTAAAGGAATACGTAATAAGCGAGGACGGAAATTGCACAGAGCAAAGTATACCGGGAAATAGAAGTCTCGCAACCGACTTTCTTTGCATTCCAGGTAAATGTCATTATTTTGAGAGAATAGAAGGGGACATTTGGGGAGGGATTGNCGTCCATCAAAGTGCGTGATATGCTACTTCTTCAAAAGGTCGGCATGGCACCCAGCTCAGCTGGGGCAGGATTTTAGAATCAAACAACATTAGACTTGGAAGACTACGATTAACAAGAACACAAACTCACCTATGGAAAAATCTCGTTTCCGCTGAGCGAACCTTAGCGGTCGGGTTGTAGCTAGGGACGGCTCGAAATCAGCATCGTGTAATGTCTTATCATCCGGTTTGTTCATTTTAGTTTCCAAGAACGGTGATTCGATTTCCATTTTTTGGCACAAGAAGCAGCCAAGATACCTCCCCACCTCCCAACGCAGGGAGAGTCAGCAGACGACCAGGAGGAACTTCCTGTGACGCCACATCCGCTATAAGCGTTTCTTCAGAATTGCTGCTTGTTGAAAGCCGGGGTTAAAACCCCTTGTGTAATGGCTCAATGAATACGTTATTTAATCGTCCTTCCCGGCGTAATTTGTCGTGGAATTTGAACGGTGGTGTCTTGGATCGTTTATCTCGAAGGAACGTGAAACACGTCAGCAGTGATGAATCTACCAAAACAGAAATAGCTGAAGTAATATTGAAGCAAGCGGTAGCATAGCCGAGTTCTATTTATGGCACCGCAGATACTCGATAGCTTCTGCTACTTTAATGCGCTTCTGTGCGTTTAACCACAATTTTCCTACCTGGCAGTCTTGAAAGGCTCGGGCAACTTAACATATGGTGTTTGAGCAGAGGTAAAAAGCGGCTCTCGGCAAATCAACCGCACTGTACGCTACAGCCGATATGGTACAGTCCTGAGCGAAAGTCGTATTAAAACAAAACAGCAATGCTTCTTAAAAAGTAGCGAACCTCAGTTAATCCTAATTTTTGACGAAAAATAGTGAGCCTCAGTTAATCTTGTGGTAAATCCAGAAGGGTAAATTTGACGAATATCGTTACGGCAGCAATACCCATGGCTACTGAGGCCGCATTCACAACAACAGAATAATCGATCTGCGGATGACATATGGCCGACCCACTTGAAAGCTTCCCGCTTATTCTCCACCGAAAATCTAGTCAGTATCTATTAGGGGATAATGCGGCAAGCTTTCAAGGGTCGGCCATGTTAGTCCACTATATCTGCTGGTTGTGACTTCGGCTTCCGAGTCTGGAATTAAATATGCGACACCCGCTAGTGGGTATGGCACATCCGACTGAACTGAACTCATTGGGAAATATTTTGAAGCATTCTCATCGTTAAATAAGGCAACTGTGTTGAAAACAATTTTGAAAAAAAAAATATCAATATCTCTCCAGTAATGAGAACAGGTTTTTGCCCTTTTTTATCGGATGTGATATTATGCACATGTCTTCTGTGGCTTAATTACCCCCTCCCAGTGGATAGTAATTCATTTAAGAGTACAAAAAAAAATCGATGCAAGGTTAAGCGTTACTGAGACAGTTGCGAGGAGAGTTGTGACTTTGGGATATGTGGCAGTGGACTAACTAATCGTAACCAATTTTCTAACATCGAATGCTGAAAACAACCAAATGATCGAATGTTAATTCATATGTTTTTCTGAAGTAAAAAAAGCCTATCGAGGGACAGTTCTTTTGAATAGTTAAAACGTAAATAGAAAACTTCTGTGATTAACCCTCAAGAGACCAAGCTATTTTACTCACTGAAATGACCAAGTGGGGTCATCTATGACCCCATTGTGTTCTGTACAGGGATCCTTATTATAAAAGGCTATTGAGGGTTTATCACACCTATACTACTCCCAGGATTTAAGACAAGTATTTTATAATGATCTAATGTAATAATTATTTGGTAATAATACTTATTTTGCATGAAATAACCAAGCACAGATTTTAAGAACAACATTACACCGGTATTTAGACAGTCCTTGTCAGTTTCCACATGTAGAAATATTTCTCTTTTTATTTGCCACACTAATGAAAAAGTACATTACAAAATTACTTTGAGTAAAAATATTTTGACTTACGTTGAGATAGCATCATGCTAACTTCAAAAAGAATAATTAGCTAATTGCTGAGTAGGAATACCCTAATGCTGGTAAGGAAGTCATACTACTCAGAACACATTCAATCAACCTACATGTATGTTACTACCACATCTGTGTATAAAACAAAATCCACACAAACAATTTGTTAATATATGTATAATATGATATCGACAGAATTCTTTAGATTTTCGAAATACCCGAAAATTGTAACCGTCAAAATGAGAGACCCAGTTATGAGAACAAGTTCCATCAAAGCTACTGAAATTAGATTTAGCGATGCACTATAAGTAACACTTCAAGCACAATCTTCACAAACCACTTATATGTGCCTATGTTTTGGGCACACTGGCTGGTTGCATGAAGCAGATGCATGTGACATTTTTCTGTCAGTGTTGCGTGGGCAAAACATTTAAATAAAATTTGAAAACTAATATTTAGAAACCAATGCTTCTCTTTGGGGTCATAAATGACCCCACGAGAGTTTGTGATGTATACGCCACACTAATCGGTTGATCCCTACAAAAAACTGTGAAAGTGTGTAGGATTAGTAGACTGACAAACTCATGCAGGGAAAGAAAATTCGAGTAAAGAATAAAGAGATGGCACATTAAATCATATGGCTGGGGTCGTAAATGACCCCACTCGGTCACTTGAGGGTTAATGATTTCTGTTTATTTTCACCGCGTCTATTAGGATCAGATTTTGTACATAGCCAGAATGTGAATAATGTAATAATTGTTATACGTCGTAGATTGCTCTGCGGTTACCTTTCAACGCAACTTGAAACGCTTTGACCGATAAATTTAGAACAGCGAGAAGTTTAAAAATTTCTTCTTGGTTTTGGCCATCAGTCTGATATTTTCTGGGGAGTCTGGGTCTCTGATCTGTTTATTTGGCAATAAAAATCTCCTCAAAATTCCAAAGTATGAATTCCTGGTTGCTGATAGCTGGTCTTTGTACTCTCCTAATGCGTATAACCTTTACAAAGCTGACTTTTACTAGCGATGATTTGATTTCCTTTGAGCAAATTATTTAAAGAGGTGAAGAGCTGCATTTTGTCTCTAAAGACAATGGGACATAGCGCATTGGACTAATTTATCTTGATAGCTTTTAAAACAAAATGAATTAAAAATACAAGCATTTCACCATTATTTTTCACCATTATTTTTTCTTTAATAAATAATAAGTCATGTTTACATGATCGCGTTTTATCAAAACTGATAACTATATGGAATGTCGTTGTCATGACAGTGACGAATAAGTCGTCACGCACTCGTTGCTTTTCCTTGAATACTTCATGTCATTCACATTTCCGCCATTATATATCTGATATATAGTCAATTACTTATGTACATAATAAGTGTTATATACATAATACCATATTTGTTCTGTCAATAAAGTGTCTTCTAGGCTAAACTCAGTTTGGCATATAGTCTGAGCTAAAATGACAGCTAATTATCGTATAAAGCCCATTACTTAAGTCTTTTAAGTCAACAGCAAGGCTTGATGACTGTACCTCTTATTACGTTAAAATAATTGGCAAGGTTTGATAAATGCGAATCTATTGGCATTCTTACTCTTGATTGTCGTATTAGCAACTATATCTTCTATTTACAAATCAATCAGTTCTATGCTAAACACTCTTCAAACTATATACCCGAAACTTTTATGTGCACAGAAACCAATTTTATAAAACCTAGAGTTGATTCGATGCAGTTTTTGGAATTGTCGAGAAAAATCAAAATGAAATTCAGGCAGCTGTGCCAATGAGTTTTATATCGACTTTTGAAATATCTTTCAGAGATTTCTATCGATCGAACAGGGCGTTTAACGGCTCGATGGGTAGGCTATACATGCTTTCCGTGACACACAGGATGTGTTGAATTCCAGCATCAACTGGCTTAGATAGGGAGTACAACAAATGATCAGACGCTCCTTACTAGAATATCTACTGGTGTATAAAAAAAAAAGGAAAATTAGAAAAGTGAACAATGGGATTAAGCTTCGACGTCTATGTATTCCTCCGGTCGCTCAATAATGGAGTCATTGGAAATGACGGAATCCCCATCAGAGAACCCGCTGCTAGAAGAGTCACTGCGCATGCTCACGCGCTTCGCGTGCTGGCACTGTCCGCTGGTCACGTGGTCGTGACGTAAACTTGGTGTCACGAAGTGTAGACCACATTGCTCGCAAGTGGTGTCTGGGTTGGTTTGCTCAACTGGAGATATAATTAAATAGGGCATTTAAAACATACGCCATGCTCCATATAATTTTGAATGCAGTTGCTCGGTACATGTTGAAAACGAATTGCTTGAATTTCATCATAAAGAAAAGTCAGTTTAGCAAATATAAAAAGTATGTGCAAGAATGTATTATACACACCTTTATGCGACCGCATATGGAAAGACAGCTCATAAGTCTGGTTGAAAGTTTTGCCGCATATTGCACATGCGCATGCCTTGTCTTTTGTGTGCGTGCGCCTCACGTGACTGTCATGTGCTGCGTGCGATGCAAAAGCTTTGCCGCAATGCTTACACTGTAATGAGAGCAAAAGAATTGTGAGTATAAATCAGCATTTTATAGGAGAGTAAAATAAAATCTGGAAAACTAATTCGACCATCCTAACCTTATTTTATTGCATGCTACTTGTGAAGTGATTTTCTATATAACTGATCGTCAAGCAGTTTTTCACTCAAGGGGCGTGGCATTACCCTTACCTTAAAGGGTTTCTCTCCTGAATGCTGACGTATGTGTGTCCTCAAAATGCTAGATGCCGTAAAAGCCTTGCTGCAATACACGCATTTATACGGTCGTTCACCGCTGTGGACCTGGAAACATTAAATCAACACATTAAGTTTACTTAGTATGCCATATTTAATTGTATACATTTCCATCTACTAACGAGATTTGTGAAACGTAGTTTATGATAAGGGTAAATTCATGTAGACAGACGTGTGTCTTATCTAATTTCCATACAGCGGGTCGATTTAGGCTTGAATTGTTGATATGTGTGCTTAGGACATGCTGCACGTAACAAAGGCAGCCAATCATTTTACACTGGGAGACACCGATTCCAGCCGATTGCAAACCGATTCCACCCGATTGGACACCGATTGCGACGGATGAGATGCCGAGCACAATTCCACTTACCCGCATGTGTTTGTTGAGACTGGAAGACTGGGAGAAACTCTTGTCACACACGGTGCATTTGTGGGGACGGTGCTTCTCGTGGACATGGAGGATGTGGATTCTCAAGCGGTCCCTCTTCTCAAACGATCTGATTAGAATTAAACAGAATTTAGGGTTTAATATACTTCAGACTCAAATTCAAAGCAACTTAAAATTACAAGGCATGCTAAAGGTCATCAATCCTTTTTTGTTTTATTTCTTTTATTATCCGTGTCTTGAGTTAATAATTCCAGAAAAAAATGAAACAGTAGAATTTCAGGATACATTAACCTGAAACAATCGGAAAATTCCTTAACTTACTGCTTGATTGATTGGTCAGTTAAGTTGTTGAGATCGAACATAATTATAAACTATTTCCTTAGAACTTCCTAAGAAGTAATAGAAAAAAGCAACCCTCACCGATCACAAAGGTGACAGGGGAACTTTCTGTCCCCCTTATCCACACAGCGTGTGTACTTTAAGTGCTTGTCTCTGTAATACTGGTAAGCAAAAACCTTGCCGCATCGCTCGCACTGGAAACCCGGTGAACCTGGAGATTAAAGAAATAGATATTGTAGAAGCACATTTTTTTAACTTTTTACTTTGTCCGGACAATATTTATGTGTGTATTTATGAATAAAAATTACTCTTTCCTAGACTAAGAATAAAGGTGTTTTCGGGTCCATGTTTCCTCTTTCTCTTATATTATAAGTCTGTCTTTAAATTTACACTTTCTGTCCACCTATTTATTTTATTAACAGCCATTTAAGAGGATACAGATGTACTGTCGTCATGCCAAGAGACAAACGAAATGTGTCAAAGATCTGACTTACTTTCATCAATTTCTTTCTCCCTTTCGGTGCTCTTCACATCTGCACTTATCCCGCTTGAAATCATCATGCACTGCTTATAGTTCTCTCCGTACCAGACCAGCAGTTCGGAGCCGAGCAGAATATCCTTACAGGCCTCATAGTAGATCTCGTCCTTGACCTGGATTGCCTCGAGATTTTGCTCTCGCGGGTTGCGCGCGCTGTTCACAAGGGTCATCCAGTTGCCCTCTATGCCGCGGCCGTCGATGAAATGACTCAGCTTGCCATCCTTAAAGATCTGAAATGAAAATATAAGTGAATTTGAACTCACTTTTCAAAGCTCATTGGAGAGTTGTAAATAGTTTGCAAAAAAAAAAAAAAAAAAAAAATCCTCACGGCAAAGTGAAAAAAAAAACAACTTAAAACTGAACGCATCAATAATAATATCGATGTTACCTGTTAAGAGAGGTGCAAAGAAATGAGAAACAGTATAGATTTTACACTCACCTCCCACATTCGAGAGTTTTCTTCCTTATCTTTCATCTCGCTTATGTGGACGACCTTGCCCTTGAACGGCCCAAATCTCGTGCCACGTGGTATGGCGGCGTGAGTACAGAAAACACTATGGTGCGGGGCCTCATTGACGAATGTAGTACGGATCTCTAAGCCTAGAGTAGAAAGGTCAATTAAAAAAATGACACTTATTTGTCTTTACTGAATATCTGTTCATTTATTTTTGATTGTTTCTTTATTTTTCATTTACGTACTCATCAATATGGAAAAGGAAAAAGAAATTATTTCCGATTCTTATAATTAGCTAAATAAACTCTTATCTTAAAATTTAGAGGGAATATTAGCGTACAAGACATATATGCAAACAATTCCAAATATACTCAAAATTCAAACGCATCTTTCTGCACAAGCGGCACTGTCATCAGCATTAATTTAAAAAAAAAGTTCTACATAGTTTTGAACATACAGATAACACCCAAGAGAATAGCGGTCAGCTCACCTTCTGGTAACTTGAGGTTGGTTGCGTCAGATTGTGCCGGGCGACAGTCCATTGCAACAGGTGAGACGAACATTGGTTTTCCTGAAAACACAATACTTGGCATGAGCTCGGGTACGTCATGGCTGAGATTGGACAAAGCTGATTAAAATGATTGAATAAAAAATCTGGATGATGATGGCCCATATTGAAAACTGCAACATTTCATTATAAGTAATGCAGTTGAGGAAAAGATAACTGTAACTAAGTCTACGCAAAATAAATTATTTTATATAAAAAAAAAATAAAAATCCATTTTTCATTTGAATGTTTGCAAACGTTTTGATCAATTTTGCCTTTACATCTTTATCTGGATTAATGGACATCATATAAATCATATAAAAGAAATAGAAATATGTTAATTATTGTCTAACACAGCGGCCTGTGAAGGTTTCTTCTCATTTTATTTAATAATACAATAACAACGTGTTTCTATAACACTGTTGCCCTGCCTCAGGTAGAACAACATCTCGTCGACCAGTCAATCAACCTCACCGGGATAATCCCGAAACAGGTGTTGTAACGTTCTTAAAAGATGAACGCTTAAGAAAGTAAAAGAGAGAAGCGGCTGAGCTAGCTTTAAAGAGGTCATTGGAAACATCTTAAGGTATTTTACGCGTAATTCGGTGGAGTGTTGTAAGTGGTGTAAATTGACCGAGGGTGATAAAGCCAGTGAGTAAACATAGTTCGAGTGGTTGTTGTTCTTTAATCCCAACAGTCAAGTGGATTTTGCGGTGGACTAAACATCCCTTTGGGTTAAAGTTTGAAGAAGTTTTGATTAAATCCCTCTTAAGTGGAGCCGACAAATACAGGACGCTTGTTACAAACTTAATACCCCCTTTTCCTTAATATCCTCATCTTCTAGTATTCCTGACTTATTTTAGGGTTTGATATTATATATATTGAATATTTTTCTTGTATTTGAAGCACTATGTCAGTTCCGCTTTCTTGGCTTTATTGCGCCTGTTAGATGATTAAGTCGTGAATTATTTCTTTCAATTTAATTCGAAACGATATATTTCTATCCATACGTAGTTCCAAATTATTTCATTAAACTATTTTTCAGTTCAGTCACGAGTTACAATTTAATCTATTTTATGGCATATAAATCACGGATATAGACATTTCAAATCTATCACTGGACTAACAATTTATCATAAGCGATGACCTGTCCTCAATTATAATGAACTGGTAGTGTAGTCCAGTAGCATATTTGAAAAATACTTTATTCATGTAAAATACGGCATTGAAATTTAACTCAAAATGACATTTGACAGTGAAATTATTGTATCTATTTGAAGAGAGCGTACTCATATCACACTATAAAGGTAATTAACCCAGTAAGTCGGCTTTGTGACACATTATTGCGTTATTCTAAAACACAGCTACACACATGAGCCGGGTTCTGGAATGACCTGTAAGAGATAATTCATAGAAGACAATTTGAATGAAGTAAGCAATGATCACAAGCATAGGCCACATAATTTGTGCTACAAAATAGGCGCAATATTTGATTGAATTGGACCACTACCGGTTTATTTATCTAAGGTCAAAGTCGACTCAAATTTTGGGCTAAAACTTTTAGACCAGTTTTCGGGCTAGAGCTCTTTTGTGAGCCCGAGCCCCAGTGGCTAGTTAGTGCACCTTTCTAGTGCAAACGCAAAGGTTCATTAAAACCGTCGACGATTATGTCCGTATTATCCCCAGCCAATGAGACATTTAATTGCCCTAAACAAAATAACATTCTTGTTGTTAGTTCAGGCACTCGGGTCGCGAAGTGAACAGACCTGTATAGAGATGGGGAAAATTAAACCTTTTCATGATCGGCCTAACAAAGCTCAGAGCACCCCTGGACATTATTTCGCCTCACCATTCAGACATAATGTACAATAACAAATAAGTCGAAGGGGAGAATAGAAACGGAATTTGAGCAAATTAAATAAATGGCTGGGTCTTTAAACGGTCTTTAAAGTTGCCATTGAAATAGGACCCAATGTGTTTAGCCGAGCCCCAAGCTCACGAGTAGATTAATGAAACGAAAACAGAGCAAGAAACCACCATTCTGGGGACCCATTCAGCCGCACTAATATCCACAAATTAGTAACATTACTTGATCTTGCTATAAAGATGGTACCGTTTGATCTCGCTCTGGTGTTTGTCTACGATGACTTGCCCCTGTTTTGCCTACGGATAGAGTAAACGTTTATTTTCTTATTGTAAAAGAAACCACACATACCAAAATGATATCGGAGGGTGAATAGGACCCCTGTAGGTGATAGTTGGGACCTAATACAAGTTCAGCACCGCCTTCAAAATTATAACAAAATTAAACCTCTTTCAGATCTCTGTATCAAGTGTTTGTCCCCGCGCGCTTCGGGAAACAGAACCAAAAGCAATCTTTTGTGGTGGTTAGATATGTAATTTAAGGGGCGGTCTCTCTTTGCGGAGGGACGCTGGGATCTAATTAACAAAGGTCGTGGCTCTATTTGATACCTGGCTATAACACGGCTTGTTGTCCTAACGTAACGAAGCTTTCTGGGAAAATATGAACAACATCGAAAAACTAACACGCACCAAAAATGCGGACATGATGTGAAAATGACCGCGGTTTTGTTACATGCCGCGTGCCAAACAAAACTGTCCTTTTATTAATTCGTGTAAAATATGTGCTGGTTTGTGAGTCATCTTGGAACATAATGGAATCCGAATTTAATAGGTTTGAGGCTGATAAACTGTTTATATAATGTCCCGCTAGTTAATTAAGTTTGATGTTGTGGTTTTCCTTACGTGCGGCTGTATTACAACAGACAATACACAATTGAAAGTGCCGAAAACGGTTGAGGTAATTATTACTCTTATTTTCTCATTTTGAATGGAGATTGCGTTCAAATATCATTACAGTGTTTTTGCTACTTGTCAAAAAGAAGCGTAAAGACCCCGCCTTCTTGAAAATGTACCGTTTAGATTTTGCACGGGCTAAAGAACCGCGGCGTTTCTCTTCAAACGCTCAAACCCTACTTTGTACTTTCAGTGCTCACTATGAAAATCAAATATTTTAATTTTTTTGCTGTTGTTCATCATTACTTTTAGCTATATTACATTTCTTTTCAAATTTCATTTTCATTTATAAAAGATAGGGTAAAAATTGTTATTTTTCTTAAGGGTCTTATTTTATTTTATTATTTTTATTTTTATTTTTTTTTGTGTGTGTGGTAATTTTGTTTGACGCATAGGAATCATTTTTCTCGTTAGCCTGACACTAAACCTCCAACAAAATAACCATGATAGGAATATGGACCGAATAAAAATATGTATCTTTTCTTTTTTTAAATAGGACTAAGATGTAAATTCATTTACCTTCCATTCCAGAAAGGGCGTAGTTATACAATCTCCCCGCCTCGGCTTGCAACCAACGTTCGTATAACATCGCATTGATCTCCTCTTGGCTTATCATCCCTCGTGGTACTGGTCCTGCTGTAGCGGCGAGAAGATGAGGATGAAGAGAAGGCACGGGATGCGGCGGTGACAGCGCAGACGACGGCATCAGCGGGCATGGAGCGCTCAGCAGAGATCTAAATGGTGCCATTTGATTGGTTAAAATCGTAGGTGATAGCCGTGGTTGGGAAGACGATGGTGAGAGATTCATGGGTTTTGGTCCTAAAGTTGTTGGGACTGGAATGTGGATACCCGTGGTATTTTTGTGTCGGTTGGAGAAGGGAAACCCGATAGGATGGCTGTTGTCTTTAGGGGGTGATGGTGGGAGTTGTAGCTGTTCGTCCGACCTGAAATTAATAATTTTCGTAAGTGGGGAATTAAAAATATTCTAAACCCAAATGCGCAGTTATATAAAATAAAAGCCTGAATAAATACGATGATTTCCTTTTACGAGAATATGTAGACTAGTAAAGTTTACAGTGGTTGTTTAGTCAATAAATTAAATTTTAAAAAAGTAAAAAAAATCTGAAAAGGTTATTTTTGATGTACTTTATCTTAAATAACGTTTTCTTATTGATATCATATTCCCTTCTGGGAAAACGTGTGATGTAGTACGTACTACATGAGATAACATGTAAAAAAGCTGTGCACGAATATAAAATTCATGTTTCTATTTTGTTTTTATAAAACCAAACTTAACGTTTACGTAATAAATTATTCTAGGCAAGAACATACATATTTTGAAAAAAGAAAACATATACTTTTTTACCTAATAATCTTATCTTATAGCCTACTGATCACTGTGAAATAAGTAGAAATGCTGATATAGTGCACACATATTGTGACACTGCTTACAAATTTTAAAACAAATTAATAATAATACAAAGCCACATAAAATTAAATATATTTCTTTAGACATTACGTAATTTATTACCTTACAATCATCAATTGAAAAATTCCTATTTTAAATTTTGAAATAAACTGAAAATGATTTTTCGATTAAAAATATATATTTTTACATAATTCCACCCTTAATGATGATATTTAATTTATCGTTCTATTTTGTCACTCGAAGCAGAAAACAAAATACAAGAAGAAAATAACAAAAACATTTCCTACTGAACCTATATAAACTGATGAAACTTTGTTCAAATTTATGCTAAAAAATCATTAAAAACTTACCTGCACAAAACAGCCGTGGGTGACAGGTGAAACTGCCCGTGCCGCAACACCTCAGCCTGCATCATCTTAACCAGTGTCCGGCAATGAAAGTGGTCAATGTCCAATAATTATTAAAGTGTCACTTAATCCAGAGAGCACTTGCAGAGCGATGTCCACTCACCAGTGGTCGGCTATCGAATGACTCCTCTTTCTCTCTGTGGCTTTTATTAAAAACCACCGTCGTTCGTGTTGTTCCAACAAGTGCTCTAGCCGTTGTTCCTCATCAAAAGACACCGCCCTCTGACGCGCATGCGTCAGTAAACAGATCTGTTTTCGTACTGCGTTTTACCTGCTAGTCGTGAACAACACTAATACAATAGCAATGTTATGGAATGTTGGCTTAATGAAGCGTGTATTTAATGGGAATGCTCAACTGGTAGGGTAGAATTGAATAGATTCCCGTACGGGGAAGGCAATGCTAATTAGTCACAAAAGGCGGAACACGGTTAGCGCAATTACCTGCTATTAACAAACAGTGGGGGAAGAATTTAAAGAACTCAAGGGCTTTATTTGGGTAATTTAGAGATTGTATAGAAACCGGCCCCCGTTTTAAGTCGGCCCACGCTGTAGTGAAGCGTAGATTGTCAAGCGATAAAGGGAGCGCTGCGCGTGTGTTATTGTTCTTTGACCCTTACCTCTCTGTTCTCCATCTATCTCACCTGGTTTAAAAGATGTGCGAAGATATTCCTGAGAGATCTCTAAATTGATAATGTCCCTATTTAATTATTTTACAACTCTAAATCGGGCACTTAGCTTCTGATAACTAGTGCAGTTGCTGTTATCTTAATAAAACGCTTTATTCGTTCAAGTATCAACCGATCATTTAGTTGGGGTGAAAATATTATCAAGTTTTCTTTTCACTCAAATTAAAATTGGGATGAGTTTATGCAGTGATGGAGTCTCTTCTCAAAAAGACTTTTACTATGCATTGTGAGAAAGCATTTTTTCTATATCTTTTATATTAACGCGTAGTTCACTTAGTTCATCTTCAAGCGTTTAAGTCTATCCAACTTTTCTTTTTCGTTACTTTACCTACGCTCTTAGCTAAATTTGGACCCATTTCCACATTTTGTTTTTCGTTTATTTTTGGTTGCACGTTTAGGTTTGAAAAACCTTAGCGTCGGAAATGGTAAGAAGGAAATGATGTGGGATAAATAAAAAGAAATAAATAAATAATTTAAATAGTTTATTCCAATGCATTCTCGCGTTGTCGATTGTAATTAGACTGTGCCTTTCCTTAGTGTACTCCACATAACGGTATTCTGATGCACTTCCTCAAAAACAAGCTGCTGTCCCAGGTAGGTGGTCGGGGGGAGGGGATCAACGCACTTAAGTGGTCAGATTGAATCTTCACGACCCGTTACCTCTGCAGGTAGAACCTGAAAGGCAAAGCGCTTGACGCAACCTGTTTATTAAGGCAATTAGTGCAGCCATTAAGACACCTCGCTCTCGCGCGTCTCAGTAGGGCGGTTGACTCACCTCTTAAGCCCCTACGAGTATTTCAGGACCTCCTGTAGTGTCTCTATCGCTGTTCAAGGACCTGAATCGTTTGTCAATTAACCAGGTGTGCTGGAAGTGAAGTATCGGTTTCTTTTTCTGTCAGTGAACTATCAAAGTCTTTTTATTTGCTGCTCCTCCTTCAGAATTAAATTCATTCTGCTTTTTTATTCTTTTTTTTTTTTTTTTTTTTTGAGAAGATAAACGCGTGGTAAGGATGAAGGCAAGATAAGAGAGGTCTTTACAGATAGCTTCTTCATCTTGAAAATTTAAATTGAAGAAATAACCAACCAAGTACATGTATGTAAGTTTCTGCGAACAAAAATGAAATTTTGATTTCTTTCTCTTCTTTCTTGATTATAGTTGATTATAGGTATATCTATTAGCGGTAGAATACATGAAAAATCAATAACTTGTGACGAAGTTTAAAGTCATGGTTTACCATAGTGATTGGTTTCTAGTCGGAAATGTGATTAATTTATTAGAAAAATTATTGTCATATCTCCAGACAAAGATTTTTTTAATATGAGTGTGTTAAAAAATTAATCATTGGACACTATTGGTTCATTCTATTTGTTGAATCCTTCAGTCCAACGATTCATCAGAATATAATTATTTATAATACAGCAGCATATAATAGGATACGACGTCGTTAACTCATCGCAGGTGTTGGAACAAATTAAGACCGTGCAGCACTTGTTGTCATGTCCATGTCAACACGAATGAACTAATCGATAGTGCCGTAATTAAGAGCAGGTGCTTAAAATGGGCCAATTAGCCAAATGTGTGGTTTCTGATATGCGAGGTGTGTATTGTATCGTCTGTTTATCGAAATGTCCCCACAGTATTTCTATATACTTGTGTACATGTATGTTTATATAAAATCGTATATCAGGCTCGTTGACAGGACTATGTAGCTGGTTCGAACGAACGAATCAAAATTTGAACTAGGTTTTATGCCATATCTCACAGTGGGTTGACCAATTGGGCTCTATTCCCATAGATTTTAGATCGATGTATCCCCGCGGGGAGTCTCACTAGATTACTTTCAGATAATCCGACTTAAATGTCCGTCCCGCCTACTACAAGCTGTAAGGGGGTAATTAACTTTCGTGTCCGCCCGGCTGACAGCTATTTAGCGTGAACCCCCAGGGAGTTAGGTCGATCTAAAGTAGGTCGATCTAATCTATGGAAATGGGGTGCAAGAAGGTAAAAAAAGTCTACTTTTTCAGAAAAAAATACCTCCCCCCTTCGTTTAACTACATGCTATAAGGATTAGAGCAGCGCACCCAACAAGTAAAATGAATACCGAGAAGATCAAGAACTATTTACGAGAAAGGTTTTTTATTTTAGGACTGACTTGATCCTATTCAGGGGCTTGTATCACAAGAGAGCAGAAACGGAACGTTGATCAAATTTAAATATCAAAATGTAAAGTATATATGGACACAGTATATGTCATAGGTAGTCCACTCGAATAAAATTTATAGATGTACATGGAGAGAAATGATCCCTGCTCCGCCTTGAGACTGAAAGGTATTGTTTTTTAGTTGGTGGAGAGCTCAGACCGGAGACATATAGTTGAATATAAACGTATATATAACGGGGAAAATAATTATATCTGCGAGCCAGGTCAAAGGAAGATAAACGAGAGAGAGAGGGGGTGGGGAGGCAGAGTTCATTTCTGTAAGGATGTTAATATGTTGGATCCTCCCAGGGGCGGAACAAGGATTATTTGAAAAGTGGGGGGTCCGAAACGACAGGCTTAAGCCGACCATCGCCCCTTTAGCGTGGAGTTCGGGGCATGCTCAAGGGCCCCGAAAACTTTTTGGTGTTTGGAGGGCATACGGTGTAGACCTATGATTCAGCTAGGCAAAATTCTAATTTCAAGAGAGAAATATTGGTGTGATATATTTTTCAAAAACCCAAGGGGGAGCAGAACCCCCCTGAAACTCTTTCTAGAACGGCCACTGGATCCACCTCCAGGGGAGACACTCATTAAATCCCATTAAGTGCATCTCATGAAAATAGTGAGGGTGGGAGTAGGGTTGGTTTGATGGGGGGGGGGGTACATTGACCGTGATCGCCGGACGTGACCCGACTAAGACCACCAAATAATCCTTCCCCTGTTTTCAAAACACTCTTTAATACTTAATACTAGGGGATCACAGGCAAACCTACACGCATTGAATATTCTCTATTATGAAATAATCGTTTCAATTCCAGTGTTTTGGTGGACTGCTTAAGTACCCCGCTC